GGGGGGGACATTTAAAATGTTTTGTGTGATTGAAAGTGAGTGAAAAAGATATACCTGTTGGGAAGTGGATACCTTCATTCACTTGGCATCCTCTTTAAATTCATAATTGTTGGAGTTACCAGAAAAAAATTCATTTCAAGATATCTGAAATTAATTCTCAAACAACAAGATTTGTATTTGTGTACTTCCCATTCTAGCAAACAAAAAATAAGATAGTAAGCCAAAGAAGACAAATCCAAATTTACCTCTTCAGTTGACTCAAAGGAAGATCTTAAGCTGAGATAATACACAATAGAGACTAAATCAACAATAGAAATATGCAAGTTTCATATATCAAGAGATAAAGAATGAAGGAGAAAGACGATAAATTGTGTATTATGCTCAACTAATCGATATACTGCAGAACATTTTCTTTCCAAAGATGGCACATCCAAAGTTTGATTACCTGGTCGATGTATATTTTCTATCAATTAATCCTCCTACAACAATTTTAAGGAGAGCAGGAAGTTAATAGCTAAAAAGTTAGTTTACCCAGTTTACTTACCAACTATGCCAATGAATAATGCCTTAACATACCTCTGAAGTACCCCTATCCTTTTTCTTTGCCTTCCTCACTTTTGCTCTACGTTGATCTTATTTGAGAACATGAAGAATCCTTTGTTCACTCCAATGTCCACATGTATAACCTATACTAAAGCAAGCAAGAACTGAATTGATGCAAAATACAATACTGTCACAAGTAGGACAATATCTTTAAAATTTGAGATTTCAACCACAAAGTTAAAATCTTAATAACATTAGAACTAAATATTGTGCTAGCATAAAAAAATAAATAGTATGCGTCAATTGATATGCCAAATTGATCTACCTAACTAACATATTGCCATGTTTATTCAATATCAAACTAGAGCCTTAGTCTTAGCTTCAGAAGCTATACAATTAATAATGAGAGAGAACAAGAATTAGCTACTAGACAATAGAATGTCAGAATAAGAATTTGTGCCCAGATTATATAATTGTAAAAAGTTATTCTCCTCCAAAATACAAGTAAAGGTCATCTCTCCCCCTTATGGGCTAGAGAACGTCATATAACTAAATCTCATTTACAATAGAGAAAACTAAATCCCATTGTAATTGAAGTATATCTTCATCACTATCTCATATTTTTATCATTAATTCATAAAGCTTCATGAAAAAAAGTACCATATCTTCTTGCACATCTTTTAATTATCAAACCATATAAATAACAAAATATTTTAGTTTCAACTACCAAGCCTCAATATATGCCATTAAGTCATAAGCATTTATACGTTTATGCTACAAAAACTTTATGTCAAACTTAAGTAGAAAACTTAGACTAACATTTTGAACTCCACAATTGGGAAGTAACACTATAATGCTTCAAATGCAAAACAAAAACATACAAAGCACTGAAGAAAGTAATTCGACAACAAAAGGACATAATAATAGTTGTACTATGAAAAGAAATACAGCTGCTGCAGAGTTGTATAAAATGACAGTAGCAGCAACAGTATACCATGTATGGAAAGAAAGGAATACTAGAATTTTTCAAGCAAAGGTGACAGGTTGGGAAGCAATGAGTAAGAAGATCATTCAAGAGATACATTACCGAAGTACCAAACATACAGCGGGGATACTACATAGACTAGATTGGTACCCAGTGTAATAGTTAGATATAAGTGTATATAACAGCATATGGGGAGGGGGTGAAGTATAGGAAAGAAGGTTATCTTGTAAGGTTTTTTTTTTTGACTTACTTGTAAATATTTTTCCCTGGTAATACAAAGTTTAATTACCAAAAAAAAATAGAAAATAGTTGTACTATGAAATGAAGCAAGATGTGGCAGACATGAAAATTGTGTCGCACATACAAACTAACAAGTTATTAAAATATATAAGCATATAAGAAAAGGCAAACCAAATAGGTCCAGAAATTTTCATCTCATAAAAATACCTTCTTAATGCTTCAGTTCCTTTTCAAACACTCATTATTGCTTTTTGTCAATCCATATTTGATACTAAATTTATGCTTCCTACTAATTCTTTCAAATTCTTACTATTTATCCAACAAATTTCACTTCATTAATTGACTTCAAAACCAAAATGATTTCAACGGTAAGGATAGGTCAGACAAACATTCCATCAAACAGGTAATATGCAATGGTCAATCCCAAAAGAAATTCTGCAAATAGGCAAAGCTAGTATAGAAATGTTTAAGATCTAAACACATGTACGTTTAAACTTAAGACTAGTACTATGAAACAAACACAAATGAAATCTGTATTTGAACTCTGTTGAAATTTTCTTTTTCCTGATTGAATTTCACTTAAGCAAATATTGGCATATATAAGAGTACATTTCAGAAAGAAAATGAGACATCGCTACAAATTTTAGGGTGGAGGCAAATTCGGCACAAGAGGTGATAGTGTCTATGCAGATTATGGCGGAGGTTGGCAAAACAGAAAACCTAATGAACTGATGTCATTAGGAGGGAAACTATTTGCACTTTCAAAATGGGGGGAAATGTTTCACGGGAAATTTTAATGGTAGGAGGAATTTTATTGAATTTCTTTAGCGCACACTAGTGAAGTGTTGCTTTTAGAATTATGAATACAACTCACTCTAAAAGCATCGCAATATAAATGAATAAGTGTTGCCAATTAATTTATGTTTGGCAGCACTTAAGTTGCGTTGTCTCAGTCTAAAAGATATGTTTCGCAAGCGTGGCCATAAAATGTGTTGCCAAAAGCTATCAACAAAGGCCATCCTTGAAAAGTATTCCCACATATAGTTTTGGAAATATTTTCTAAGCGTTGTTAAAAGTTAGTGTGTCATTAGGCCAAATTTATTGTAGTGCAACTTTGGACAAGTTGAGATGTTTGCACTCTTATTTAGCCCAAATTGTATCAGGAGTTTCTCCGTTACAAAGCTCAAATCTGAGACATCAAATAAAAGATGAAGAAATCTTGCTCATCCCACACATCCCTCAGTGATACAAATAATTTCGCATATACAATAGCAAAAGTTTATAGCTTAAAGAAGAAGATAAGTAACTTATTATGACCGCTTAAACTGCAATATAGGAGGAAATGCAATTAATAGGATGGTCATAACTTTAGAAAATCAACCTTTAACAAAGCAAAATCTGAAATTATTTTTTCTTTCTTATTTAGCTTTTTTTCCAAGACTATGGAAACATAAATAACTATATGCAAGTTAATGGATTAACAAAATAGGTCAATGAGAGAAAAGAGAAACCAATGACAAAAGTAGTGATCAAGAAAATAGTGGTGGTAGATATGTTGTCACGATCCGGAATTTTCACCGTCGGAACTGTAATGACGCCTAACACTTCACTTGCTCGGCAAGCCAACGTTAGAGGATTCTTAACGCCAACTTTAGCCAATTTCAATAACAAGAAGAATTAAGCTAGACAGAATCTAAAACTGATTTGCGGAATAGCATAAAACCCAAGCATCTGATACATTTAGGATCTGGAATAACAACTAACGAGCTACTATGATTTACTACGAGCAGAGTCTGAAAGAGAATACACTGTTCTGAAGGAAAAGAAACAGTAAAATAATAAGACTAGAAAGAGACTCCAGGGTCTGCGGACACCAGCAGATCTACCTTGGGTTTCATGTCAAGCAATCTAGCTGCTAACCTCACGATCAACTAGTGTCGGTACCAAAATCTGCACAAGAAGTGTAGAGTATAGTATGAGTACAACCGTCCCCATGTACTCGTAAGTGTCGAGCCTAACCTTGACGAAGTAGTGACAAGGCTATGACAAGACACCTGCATAATAAACATGTGCAGATAACAATATATGTACAAAGTAACAACAAATAAGAGCTAGACAAGTAATATAAGGAGGGGGGACATGCTGAGGGGGATACAAGATAAAAGAATCATTGTAGTAACGATAACTAGAACAACCAATAGGCCTTGAACAAACGAAAATAATTAAATACAATAAGGAAAAGTGCACGGCACCACCCTTCGTGCTTTTACTCTCAACATCACCATATAAATCAATAGAAACGGCACGACATTACCCTTCGTGCATTAACTCTCGTAACATGGCACGACATTACCCTTCGTGCATTAACACAAATAGTATGTCACGGCATTACCATTCGTGCATTAACACTCACAATTTGGCACGACATCACCCTTCATGCATTATACTCACAATGTGGCACGGCATCACCCTTCGTGCATTAACACTCTTCCTTACCATAAGTAATGAACAAATAACAACCGGGAGATCGAATAACAAGAACAAGCCTTCTTAAACTTTAGGTTCCCCAATATCAACCTCAACTTTGAAATCAATACTCAATTATCACCAAAAAATCCGTAAACATGATAAGAAAGATCAATTTAACAATACCAGTCTAAACATGGATAACATGATCAAAGAAAGCAAAACTTACAAGAAACCAAGTCTCAACCGCATGCTTTAACCCGACAACAACGCATAAGTACTCGTCACCTCACATATACGTTGTACCTAACATCTAAACATGTAACAAATAGACAAACAAGTCTTATTCCCTCAAGTCAAGGTTAACCACGACACTTACCTCGCTCCAAAGACCAAACTCAAAGCACAACCACGATTTTTTCTTTCAAACAGGCCTCCGAACCAATAGAATCTAGAAAATTACTAACCAAACGATTCAAATTAAACCTTAGGAACAACCCACGATTGTAAAGAATTCAATTTAGGTCATTATTGAAAAACTCAACACCCGGGCTCGCTTTGTCCAAACCCGAAATTCAGACTAAAATCCGATTATCCATTCACCCCGAGCTCGGTTATGTAATTTCTTTTGGAATTTGGCCTAAATTTGAGGTCTAAATCCCTAATTTACAAAATTCCTAATTCTACCAACCCCCCTCCCCCAATTTCTGCCATGAAAACTCTATATTTTAGATTGAAAACTTAGGAAAAGTGAAGAAAGATTGAAAGAAACTATTTTAGAATCACTTACCAATAATTTGGGGAAGAAATGTTCTTTGGAAGATCGCCCCTAGGGTACTTGAGTTTGAAAATTTGAAGAATGAACCAAAAATCCCGTCTAAGTCAAGTTTTGATCAGCTACAGATGTTGCATTTGCGACCTTCCCTGCAAATGCGAATCTTGCAAATGCGAAGAATCCATAGCAATTGCGAAGACCATCGCATCTCTACATCCATCGCATTTGCGATGTGAAGTCCGTAAATGTGAAAACTGTTTCTCCACAAATGCGACCAATTGATCGCATTTGCGATCACTGCCCCCACCTGACCCTCTTCGCAAATGCGAACATCATGTGGCCCAGCTACTCTTCGCAAATGCGATGAGTAGATCGCAAATGCGGACCCATCAGAGTTCGCAAATGCGAAGCCTGATCTCGAAAATGCGAGATCAGAGGCCTGCAACAAAATCTGAAGCACACCAGCAGGTTTTAAGTCCAAATTTCACTGCGTAGCCTATCCGAAACTCACTCGAGCCCTCGAGGCTAGAAACCAAAAGTGCACACAAGTCTAAAAATATCATATGAACTTGCTCTCGCGATAAAATCGCCAAAATAACACCTAGAACTACGAATTGAATACCAAATCAATAAAATTTTCAAGAAAACTTTGAAACTACTATTTTCACATTTGGACGTCCGAATCACGTCAAACCAACTCCGTTTCTCATCAAATTTCACAGACAAGTCATAAATATGGTATTGGACCTATAACAGATTCCAGAACAAAAATATAAACCTGATATCCAAAAAGTCAAACATTGGTCAAACATTTCAGTTTCATTAAGCCTTTAAGTTTCAAATTTCGACAAAGTTCGATAACCCAGGCTAGAGACTTCCGAATTTGATTCCTGGCATACGCCCAAGTCCCAAATTAAGATACGGACCCACCGAGACTGTCAAAACATGAATCTGGATCCATTTACTTGAAATATTGACCGAAGTCAACTCAAATGAAATTTTTAGGTAATATTTTAATCAATTTTTAACATAAAAGCTTTTCAAAAACACATCCGGACTGCGCACACAAATCGAGGAGGGATAAATGAGGTATTTAAAGATTAAAAGCGTAGAATTGGGTTCTAAAACATGAGATGACCTTTCGGGTCATCACATTCTCCACCTCTAAAATAATCGTTCGTTCTCGAACGGACATAGAAAAGTATCTGGATTGGTGAAAAAGTGGGGATATCTACTCCGCATGTCCGACTCAGACTCCCAGGTAGCTGCCTTGATGGGCTAACCTCTCCACTGCACTTGAACTGAAGGATAAATCTTCGATCTCAACTGACGAACCAGCCGGGCTAGAATAGTCACCGGCTCCTCCTCATAAGTCAAATCCTTGTCCAACTGGACAGTGCTGAAATCTAACACGTGGAACGGATCGCCGTGATACTTCTGGAGCATGGACACATGGAACACCAGATGAACTGTTGATAAACTAGGTGGCAACGCGAGCCTGTAGGCCACCTTTCCCACTCTCTCAAGAATCTCAAAAGGCCCGATATACTTAGGGCTCAACTTGCCCTTTTTTCGAACCTCATCACACCCTTCATGGGTGATACCCACAGCAACACTCTCTTCGACCATGAATGCAACATTATGAACTCTACGGTTGGCATAACTCTTATGCCTGGATTGAGCTGTGCGAAGTCGATTTTGGATAACCTTGACCTTATCTAAGGCATCCTGTACCAAATCTGTACCCAATAACCGAGCCTCCCTCGGCCCGAACCATCCAACTGGCGATCAACACTGCCTACCATATAATGTCTCATAGAGAGCCATCTGAATGCTCGACTGATAACTGTTGTTATAGGCAAACTCCGCAAGTGGCAAGAACTGATCCCACGAACCTCCGAAGTCTATAACACAAGCGCGGAGCATATCCTCCAATATCTGAATAGTGCATTCGAATTGTCCGTCCGTCTGAGGATGAAATGTTATGCTCAACTCAACCTGCGTGCCCAACTCACACTGCACTGCCCTCCAAAAATGCAAGGTGAATTGTGTACCTGGATCAGAAATGATAGACACAATCATACCGTGAAAATGGATGATTTCGCGGATATAAATCTATGCCAACCGCTCTGAAGAGTAAGTAACTGCTACAGGAATGAAATGTGTTGACTTGGTCAGCATGTCCACAATGACCGAAACTGCATCGAACTTCCTCTGAGTCCGTGGGAGTTCAACAACGAAATCCATAGTGATACGCTCCCACTTCCACTCAGGTATCTCTAACTTCTGAAGCAAACCACCAGGTCTCAGTTGCTCACACTTTACCTGATGATAATTTAGACACCGAGACATATATGCGACTATATCTTTCTTTATTATCCTCTACCAATGATGCTGCCACAAGTCCTGATACATCTTGGTGGCGCCCGGATGAATAGAATACTGGGAACTGTGGCCCTTCTCATTGTAGTTCTTCCCGTGAACCTTCAACTTCCATGAAACGTATGCAATTACCTTGACATCCTACATCAATACCGCACCCAGTCCAATACGAGATGTATCATAATATACCATATAAGATCCAGAACCTGTGGGCAACACCAACATCGGAGTCGTAGTCAAAGCAGTCTTGAGCTTCTAAAAGCTCGCCTCGCACTCGTCTGACCATCTGAACGGGGCACCCTTCTAGGTCAACCTGGTCAATGGGGCAGCTATAGATGAGAACCCCTCTACAAACCAACGGTAATAACACGCCAAACCCAA